GATCTCTTCACAGGTATACACATCCCTGACATATAACGCCACTCCTCCTCCTTTCTTGTCTGGTCTGTTTCTCTGAAATAGATTGTATCCCTCCATTATTACATTCCAATCGTGGGACTTATCCCACCAGGTTTCAGTGATGCCTATTATGTCATATTTAGTTTGCTGTACCAAGAGCTCAAGCTCATCTTGTTTATTTCCCATGCTTTGCGCATTAGTGTACAGACATTGAAGTCCATTAATCATTCCCCATGTCTCTTATTTAAGGATTTTTCCTCCCACCACTAGGTCTGCGTGCTGTTTGCTCCATTTGGTCTATGACATTTGGATGATCATCTTCATCAATTGATAGACTCTACCTTCAGGAGCACTGTCTCCTCCCCACATTAGTCAGTTTAAAGCCCTCCTGATGAGGTTTCTGAGATTTTTGGCAAAAACATTCCTCCCAACCGTTGTGAGGTGCAGCCCATCGCTTGCCAGAAGTCCATCTTCAAGAAACTGCAGTCCGTGATCTAAGAATCCAAACCGTTCCTGTTTACACCATTTGCGAAGCCAGCTGTTCACTTCCACTATTTTTCCCTCTCTCCCTGGGCCACGTCGTTCAACTGGGAGGACAGATGAGATGACAATTTGTGCATTTAATTGCTTCAATTTCCTGCCCAGAGCCTCGTAGTCTCTTTTGATCTTCTGGAGGCTATTGCTTGCAGTGTCATTGGTTCCCACATGAACCAAGAGGAAGGGGTATTTGTCAGTGGGTTTTATGATTCCTTGCAGTCGTTCAGTTACATCTTGGATCTTAGCCCTGGGGAGACAGCACACTTCCCGAGACATCTTGTCAGGCCCACAGATCACTGCTTCTGTTCCCCTCAGTAGGGAATCCCCTATCACCACTACTCGCCTCCTCTTAGGTCTGGTCGGGGTTCTTCCGTGAGCTGTCCGTTCCAAGGGCGCCTGCACATTCCCTGAGGACTGACTTTGCTGCTCGTCTTCATATACCTGATCGACTGTAATGAGGGAGATCCTCAAATGGAGTCTGCTCTTCGTCTTCCATGCTAGGGGAGAGGACCTCAAAGTGATTGTGTATTTCTAAACAATCAGAGCGAACCCTGGGCCTCCTACTTCTTTGAGTCACGTTTCTCCATATATCTGGCTCCTGTGTTGGTGAACTAGCCTCCTTCTCCCCTGAGTCCCCTGTCTCCTCCTTGGTGGAGACGGTGTGCTCTGTTGCTTCCAAGAAGAGCTCCAGCTCTCTAATTCTTTGGAGCGTAGCTACACGTTCCTCCAGTTGCTGGACTTTGTCTTCTAAGAGGGCAATCAACATGCAATTGCTGCAGGTAAAGCTGCCTGCAACCTTTGGCAAGATGGCAAACATTGAGCAGGAACCGCAGGCGACTGCAGCTGTTCCCTCACCCTCCATCTTGAGAACGTGTCGTTGGGGGTGGCTACAGCGGTCCTCCATCATAAAAAGCGTGAAGACAGGAGAAATAACTCCCCCCCCAAAAAACTTAGGTCTCCCCCAACAAACGTTTGAGACTAGCTCCCCTAAATCTAAAAGATGGATCAAACTGCGCGCACACGCACACACACACACACACACACGCACAAGAAAACCCTTTTTGCTCCTTCTTCAGCTGCTGCCCTGCAAGCTCTGATCAGCTCCTCCCACAGCTAATCACCTGCCTCAACAGAAACCCTGCCCCCTCTGACCTTTGCACAGGGAGAGCAGCTAATCAGCCACAAAGAAACACACACACACAAGAAAACCCTTTTTGCTCCTTCTTCAGCTGCTGCAGTCCATGGGACTCTCAAGAGTCTCCTCCAGCACCATAATTCAAAAGCATCAATTCTTCAGCGATCAGCCTTCTTGATGGTCCAGCTCTCACTTCCATACATCTTCTCAAGGTAGTTCACAAAATAAAAACACAGGAACAAGAAACATAATATGGCACATACACACTGCATTTATGCAGACACAAAGCACAGGGATTTCTAGAGAGGAATATCAGTTTTCACGGGGGGAGGAATGTTCCGGTTTTGCCCCTACATATGTAATCTCAGTTTTAAACATACAGCTCTTTCACCTTTATCACAGGACTGTTGTGAGAATGACCATAGCACGGATTTTTAGGACTAGCCCAAAATAATCCGTTCCCTGAGATGAAAGACAAGATGGAGCTCTTGCCCTGTATCCATCCTACATACAGAATGAGAGCAGCAGCTGAATATCGTTTGGATGACTGAGGGCAGAACAGGTTGGCTTAGAGCAGGCACCCCCCAACCTTCGGCCCTCCAGATGTTTTGGACTACAACTCCCATCATCCCTGACCACTGGTCCAATTAGCTAGGGGTCATGGAAGTTGTAGGCCAAAACATCTGGAGGGCCGCAGGTTGGGGATGCCTGGTTCAGAGCACTCAGGGAAATGGCAGGGGGACCTTCTTCCGTTCCTTGGCATCTGCCACCAGAGGCACTTGCCTCATCCTGTCTCATGGTAGGGTCAGCTGTAATCCAGTTCTTATGACCCATTCCACCATCCCGAGTGCCACAAAAACACTGAATACCATTGCATTTTATTTCCTTCCGAAGAACCAATCACTGGGGGCTCTCAATTGTAAGTAGTTAAGAGATTATTGTTTCAGGACAACGCTGGCTAGCATGAAAGTGTAATCCGTCAGAGGGTTCCTTGTTGCTGAAAATTGCCTTTTGAGATGCAAGCTTTCAGAGGCTGAAAACTCTCCCCCCCCCCCCGTCTGCTTTGCAGTTCACCTTGGAAAACGTTCTCCCTGGGTGGACGTCATAATTGCTGCTGAGGTGGGGGGGAGAGAGAAAGAAAACACTGCAGTTATCCCAGTCACTCCTTTGTGTTATTCCTTAATATCCAAGGAAGGCACCAGCCCTCTCTAGTTTACGCTTCCTGGTAGCTGGTATTCAGTAGCAAACTCCCACTGAAGCTGGAGGTTTTCTATAGTTGTCGTGATTCTGACCGATCTCCCATGAAAAAAAAATAGAGGCCACCCCTAGTTTGTGGCAATGGATTCCTCAAACGAATTATGCACAAGGAGAGGAAGGTCGCTTCATACCCTTTCACACCTTGAAAGCTTTTTGGTTGCTAAGAGTGAAGCGGGCTGCTTATTTTAATGCGTGGAAAGCTGTGGCCTCAGCTATTAGACATTTCGGAATGGCTGCTTTAATACATATATTCCAGTCAATGCCTGGGTTGTTATAATCCTCAGTCTTTGCTCTCTGCTTGATCCCCTACTCCTCTTTTCTTTTTAAAACATGCCTGTTTTATTTGCACAGTCGTTTCACAGGCCAGTTGTTCTTTCTGGTTAGGTGGCCAATAAAACATTTCTATTACTAGTTTCAGTCTCTGAAAAATCTCTGGCTGCAACCTGTAATGACACAGTACTGCCAATCTCGACTTCCTCGGATCCTTATGTTCAGACTGAGACTAACACATCCTTCTCCTCCTCCCCCCCTTCCACACTTCTCCAGGCACCTGAAGAAGTTTCTGTTCTTGTACATTAGATGCATCAAGATCTTGCAAAGAAACTAGTTGCAGACAATGTGCACATTCCCCAGGTGGCAGCAGGTGGTGCATACACTTATTGCTGCATCTGTACATGCTCTTACTTACAGCAGCAGTGGGGGAACCATTGGCCTTCCAGATGTTGCAGGACTCCAAGTCCCATGAGTCCCATGAGGGGCACAGACCTGGAGAGGGAAGTGGGAAATTGGCAAGCACAAGCTCCCCAGTCATCCAGTGAGAACCTCTCTGTTGGATCCAAAGCTTTTATGGAAGGCTATGGATCATAGGACCTTGCCAATAAAGGTCCATATACAGTGGTACCTCAGGTTACATACACTTCAGGTTACATATGCGTCAGGTTACAGACTCCGCTAACCCAGAAATAGTACCTCGGGTTAAGAACTTTGCTTCAGGATGAGAACAGAAATCATGCTCCGGTGGCGCGGTGGCAGCAGGAGGCCCCATTAGCTAAAGTGGTGCTTCAGGTTAAAAACAGTTTCAGGTTAAGAACAGACCTCCGGAACGAATTAAGTACTTAACCCGAGGTACCACTGTAGTTAAATAATTTCCTAAATTGAAACAAAGAGGAGACCAGCTATGTATATTCTGTTGGAACGCACCTTTGCTGGTTGGCAGAACCATCCTATTGGTATGGGAGATGGGAGAAACTGTGGCAAAGGAACTATCAAAGTCCAAGCCCTGATGGTCTTCTGCTGGTCAGGGCAGGTGGTGGTGGAGGAAATCTATATGGTGCCATCCTGTGTTCCTATAACGTAGGACTTTCATTTGTAGAAGACACTCCAGGCTGGATTCAAGTAAGCAGTTGCAGGAGCTAGTGCAACAAATCCCACTAGTGATATGGGGCTTCCCCTCCTTTCCTCCCCTGTGCCCCCCAATCAGCTCTGAGGGGTCAGGGGAACCCCCAAACAGCATGCAGGAATAGGAGAGGAGAATTTCAATATTTTTGTTTGACCAACAATTTCACATCTGATTTCTTTAAGGACTTTTGGGGTCTATGCTATTTGATCATAGTGACTTGTCAATGTATATTTTTTTCTAATTTGTCATTTAAAACATATTTTGTCAGCTCTAGACTATGTTCTTCAGACGCCCTTTCTGAAATGGAAATAATTTATTCAGTATGTCTGCTGTTTCTCTGTCTTTCTTGGTAACCCTTTCATCCCTTTTTCATCTACTTGCTTCCCGGGGCTTCTGTTGTATTTAAATAAATTTTATTGTTTGTCTTCATGTTGTATGTTCATGTTGTCTGGAAACACAGAGATGATTGTTTAATCCTGAATCCTTCTCTTATGTCAGAAGAATGAGCTAAAATTAGTGGGTGACCCCAATATGAGTTTAGCCAAATGTCAACTTTCCAAAAATACAGTTTCCTAAAAGATGTGGTAATAGACTATAGAGTTGGAAAGGATCACAAGGATCAATCTAGTTCAACTCCCTGCAATGCAGGAATCTTTCACCTAACACGGGACTCAAACCCACAACCCTGAGATTAAGAGTCTGATGCTCTACCAACTGAGCCATTATTCAAATCCAAGAAGCCTCACTTTCTTGAATGAAGGAGCTTCAAAGAGAGATTCTGCCCATGAATTACAACCAGTGGAGGCTGGGCCATTAGGACAAATGGAATACTACCCAACCAACCTCAGTCTACCCCCTTGTGAAACAGAGCAGAAGGGAGCACAGAGACAAAGCTGGAATGAGCTGGCTCTGCCTGTCATTGGCTCTGCCCCCCCCCATTGGGCTCCCTGCCTTCTGTCCTACCAGTTCCCAGCAGCTACCACTGATTGTTTTTGTATGGTCGTTTAGTCATGTCCAACTCTTCATGACCCCATGGACCAGAGCACACCAGGCACTTCTGTCTTCCACTGCCTCCCGCAGTTTGGTCAGACTCATGTTTGTAGCTTCGAGAACACTGCCCAACCACCTCGTCCTCTGTCGTCCCCTTCTCCTTGTGCCCTCAATCTTTCCCAACATCAGGGTCTTTTCCAGGGAGTCTTCTCTTCTCATGAGGTGGCCAAAGTATTGGAGCCTCAGCTTCACAATCTGTCCTTCCAGTGAGCACTCAGGGCTGATTTCCTTAAGAATGGAGATTACAACTTAGCAAAGAAGTTCATTTCTATCACCTACAAACTGAATAGAGATCATGGATTTTTATTCCACTGGAGGTATTAATTAGTTTACCAATGCCAAGGAGCTTGTTAATCATCCATACTATTTTGTGAATAGTCACAGTAACAATGTTACATACATTCGAGCTTTGATGTAATTGCCGCAGCCTCTCTAACCTCACTGCTTACAGTAGCCGCTGCTACCATGCTTATATATGTGTGTGTGTGTGTGTGTGTGTGTGTGTCTGCCAACTCAAGACAACAACTCCTAAGTGGACTCTGGGTCCATGAACATTTATGCCACAATAACGTTCATAGTCTTTGAGGTGCCACAAGACCCTCTGTGATTTCTACAAACCAACGTATTCATACGTGGCCCAAAGGAACTTGCCAGTTCAGACAAAGCATTTGCATGTGGGATTTCAGAATCTGGGTCTTGCTCTATTTTCACAGAAAATTTCCAGGCAGTGTTTGTGAAGAGGAGAGTGTTGTGAGGCATATGCAAATAAACACATTTGAATGGCATCCCTGTCTCATCCTGACATTTGCAGAAAAATGGCAAGGGGGCTGTGCTTAGTCAATCAACTGGCGATACTCATCAATGCAAATATTTTGATTGACAACAAAGTGCTCCTGATTGCTCAGGCAGCAGATGGTTTAAGAGAGCATTAATATTTTTAATACAAGCAGTTGCAAAACAAAAAACAAAAAAATGGCTTGGGTCTTCTTCTTTGGCGATCACTCGTAGCCAAGCAAGATTGTCTTCCATAAACACCATGAAGGCCAATTCTGGATCCACACATCGTTCCACAGTGGGGACATTGGTTTCCAGACAGGAGCTGATCACGGTGTGGATTGCCGAGAGTGCCTTCCTCTTAGCACGTTCCTCCCTTGCGTCCTGAGTTCGAGTGTCTTCAAAGCCCATGACACCTTTGCTAAAGGCTGTTCTCCAATTGGAGCAGTGTTTCCCAGTTGTCAGTGTTTATACTACATTTTTTTAAAATTTGCCTTGAGATAGTCTTTAAACCTCTTTTGTTGACCACCAGCATTACGCTTTCCATTTTAAAGTTTGGAATACAGTAGTTGCTTTGGTAAGACAATCATCAGGCATCCGCACAACATGACCAGTCCAACGAAGTTGATGTTGAAGAATCATTGCTTGGGTAGGAGGAGGGCCATAGCATCTGTTTTGCATGCAGACGGTTCCATATTCAATCCCTGGCATCTCCAGTACCTCAAATCCTGGAGACCCACTGCCAGTCAGTGCAGATGGTACAAAGCTAGATGAATCAATGGGTGTGACTTGGGTTCCTGTGTTCCTATGATCCATTGTTGTTTAGTTGTTTAGTCGTGTCCGACTCTTCATGACCCCATGGACCAGAGCACGCCAGGCACTCCTGTCTTCCACTGCCTCCCGCAGTTTAGTCAAACTCATGCTGGTAGCTTTGAGAACACTGTCCAACCATCTCGTCCTCTGTCGTCCCCTTCTCCTTGTGCCCTCCATCTTTCCCAACATCAGGGTCTTTTCCAGGGAGTCTTCTCTTCTCATGAGGTGGCCAAAGTATTGGAGCCTCAGCTTCAGGATCTGTCCTTCCAGTGAGCACTCAGGGCTGATTTCCTTAAAAATGGAGAGGTTTGATGTTCTTGCAGTCCATGGAACTCTCAAGAGTCTCCTCCAGCACCATAATTCAAAAGCATCAATTCTTTGGCGATCAGCCTTCTTTATGGTCCAGCTCTCACTTCCATACATAACTACTGGGAAAACCATAGCTTTCACTATACGGACCTTTTCTTTGCACAAACATTTAGGGTTGATCCAGCAGACACTACAGTTGGATCAAGCTATTGGCAATGTTTCTTACCAAAGGTTCCTGAGTAAACTCAGCAGTCATGGGGTACTTCTGGACTGGTAGCTTGTCAAGGAACAGGAAGCAGAGGATACAAGTAAATGGAGTGTTTTCACAATGGACAGACAAACAAGGAATAGCATCCTCCAAGGATCCATATTGGAACTAGGGCTGGGCGAATCTGCCATTTTGGTTTCTCCCAGTTGCTAATTTTTCCAATCTTAAATTGAGTTCTCCACATTTCCTCACCAATTTGCATTTTTAAAAATAAAAAAATGTGCCCATGAAAATTCATCAGCATTTCAGTGCAATTTTCCCCTAATTTTGGTACACAACTTTGCCCGATATACATATTTTTGCTAAATATTTTCCTCTAATATAATGCATTTTTGTACGTTATTTCCACTAACACATGCATTTTAATGCAACCATTATATTGGTTATATGCATTTTTGTACACATTACTTGGCCAGGTAACTGCATTGCAAAATTCAGAGAAGTGCAACTTTCAAAGGTTGGCTGTGTTTCAGTTCACGCTATATTTCAGAAAACGCAAATTACGTAGGTCCACCTTTAATGGAATCTAATTTCTCCCCTATTCCTAATTGGAACTGGCACTATTTAACATAAATTATCCTCAGGCAGTGAGATAGCCAAGTTTGCAGATGTCACAAATTATCGGGGGTGGTATAAACCCAAGCAGACTGTGAATAGCTCCAAAATAATTCCTCTGAATTGTAGGAACGGGCAGCACTATGCTAAATAAGATTCACTGTTAGTAGGTGCAAAGTGACGCACGAGGGGAATCTGAACGGTGGGCGGTACTAAGCTACCACATCCCATCAGCGCAAGGATTCCCACTCGCATTTCAGGACTCCCCCCACTGTCTTCTCCCTGTACATGCCTCGTGCCTCTCCATATTTGCTCCCGAAGGTTGGGGTAATGCAAAAAACAGATTGAGGGGGTGCCCAGGGGGAGGAGAGAGGGAGAATGTTCCATTGCACAAGCAGAAATGTTCCTTTAGCACTTTGCACGATCCCCCCCAGCCTTTGACTGTGCAGGAAAGTGGCAGAGAAAACCTGTGTATATGGTGGGGGAGAGAAAATTGGTGGTAAAAGAACTAACGAATCCCAAGATGTGCTCGCTAGAGTAGAAGGCAATGGAGGAAATATGTATGATAGTTCCCCCCCCATCCCAGGAGCCTTCCTTGATCTGACCCTGTCTTGTCCCACCCTCTTTTGCCATTACCAGAGGATTGACGGCATAGTGGCAAGGATGGTATAAGTTTCTGCACCCAGAACAAAGAACCTCAGGCCATCCCATGGACAATAGGATTGTTGTACCCTTCTTTATTGTTCCATTTGTTGGCAAAGTCCTGATGACACCTTACTGAGCAACAGCATATAATATGAGGAGAAAGGAACAGAGAGGTTTTGCCTTTCTTACTTCAGGCCTTGTACATCGTGGGGGGACAGTCAGCCAAAACATAAGGAGGAAAAACTCCCTCAAGGCTACACAGCCAGTCAGGGGGTTTGCTACCTCGCTAGAGATCAGAGCACTCTGGCGAGCTGCTCCACAGCACCTTCACCCCTCTCCCTGCAAGCTTAGCTTGCTTACTGATAACAGAATTAACCTTTAGGTCACGCACATAATGATCTCTGCCGTTGATCACCATTTTTATCTTGTCCTTTCTCCATGATGCTCAGGGTGGCATACGCAGTTTCCCTCCTTTGACTACCAGACATCGGAGGCAAAAATGAGAGAAGGTTGATGCCTTCATGCTCTGCTTGAGAGCTTCCTGGAGGCATCTGGTGCTGAGCTATTCGAGATTAGGCCTTGGTCAGCTCACAGACACCAGTAGAACATTCCTACTGCCTTACCTGAATCAGATGCAAAAGAGAGATAGAGCTGGGTGTTATCATCAACATAGCGATGAAACCCAATCCCCAAATCCTGGGTGACCTCATCCAGTGGTTTCACAGAGATGTAGAAAAACAAGGGAGACAAGCTATAACCTGCTGACAGAACACATGTGCTATGGGCCAGAACAACAGTCCTCCAGCAGCACCTTGGGAAATTAGCTTTGAATTAAAATATTTTAACCACCACACTCTGATACCTTATCCAGAATTATACTTTGATCAGTGGATCTGAACACTGCCACGGTGTTCAGGAGACTTACTAAGGCTAATCTCCCACAGTTCCTCCAGCACAGGTTATCCATTAAGGCGACTCATGCTTTTGTCCTAAGCATATTTATCAGAATAAGCCCCACTGGACACAAGTGGGGCTAATTCATAGCTGTCAACCTTTTCCCTTTTTTGTAAGGGAAATTCCCTTATTCCGAATAGGATTCCCCGCAAGAAAAGGGAAAAGTTGACAGCTATGGGCTAATTCCAAGTAAGCACGTTTAGGATTGTGCTGTAAGGCGCTTCCCCTGCCAAAACTAGGCCTGAAATCTAATTGAACAGGATATTTTGTTATTTCTTTACCTCATGTGCTTCTGTCTCTCTGGATGGAAACAATGTGAGCTGCATTTCACCTGGATCATTCCCAATATTAACATGTTCCC